GAATCTTCTAGTAGTTTATTCCTCCATTGTTATGAGTAGCTAACTTTTCTAATCTAAGGTTTTGGTGGAACCCGTTGGGGATGACTTGGTTGTTTTATTAATATAGTTGGATTTGGTAGTTTAATCTCTATTTGTTCAACTATGTTTTGATTGTGGTTAATTGAAAGGATCCTCAATTAACCGTTCCTATTTATTATGTATCTGCTTGAGAGAGAGTGCATATTTAGGTAGTTGTTTGAACAACATCACTCCCGGAGTATAGGCGAGAGTCATAACCGAGGGTTTAGAGGTTGGATTAGAGATAACAATACCTCGGGTGCGATCTAAGTGAACTGTAATGCGAATCTAGCTAGCGTAGCTTGAGAGAGTGCGTCTAGTAAATTATCATAATTGCTTGAGAGAGATTTATGATAGCTGGAGAGTTCATGATTTATAGAGGCAACTGAGTCATCGCTATAAGAAACATACAACCAAGGAAATCAACAACGGGGGAAACCATTACCTTAGACCTTTATTCTAATTGTTTACAATTCAAGGATAGTTAGTTTTCAGCTGTTTATTTATTTTCAATCTTGTCTTCTTGGTGATATTAAACAGATACAGCTAAGCCTTAGTTCTCTGTGGGATTCGACTCCGGACTTTTAGACCGGATTATATTTGCAGCGACCGCTTATCCTTTTTAGGACTAGAGTTGGGCGTGATCAATTATCCAGAAGTTATTTGGTAAACTTTTGGAATTGAGGCAATTTAACAACATTCATTTAACAACATTCTGAATGAATGTATATTGTTTAGAAGGCCATAAATTAGCCATATTCTTCAATACCTTAATAGAAATATCGGCATCATATCATCCACTAATAGTTGGCAAATTCAATTTACGATCGAGCCAAGCATATATCTTACATAGAAGATTAGCAAATAATATAGAAAAGAATAAAAAAAGAAGCAAAAAGAGAACTCTCATATTCATAAAATGAAATCTAAAATTTGATGCAGAAACTGATACAACATGTGCAAGGATGACCCAATATCAAACTTACAGGATTACACAAAAGAAATAATTTAGACAAATAATTAAAAAAGAAAGACCATTATACAACTACACATAATGGTAAATCGATAAAATAAATTTTAATCAAGTTTGAAAATGTAATACTGAATTTGTTAACCGCGGATAAATACAAACTATAATCGTGACCGAAGTAGAAGATAACTACTATTGAAATATATTTTTTCTCCCATATTTCAACTTATCACCGGAAAATGAAGTATATCCTTTTCATTAGTTTGAGTTTTCATTTTCCCCTTCAATATTCATTTCACTCATCATACTTCTGTTTTAGTATTATCTATACCGTTTAAAAATATTTGTACATATTAGCATGTGACACACGTGCAACGCACGTGTTCAGAGACTAGTTAATTAACATAAATAAAGTAGATACTTCTTGATCAATTTCAAAGTTTTTTGCTAGTGCGTTGTGCTTATACACTTCGTAGAGCCTTGTCTCTTTTTGTTTATTATACACTTAGTTGTCACGACCCAATTTCCCCTCCAAAAGACTTCGTGACGGCACCTAGTCTTTACGACTAGGTAACCCTAACATTTGCGGAATAATGAAATGAAATAATATTTAACAACTAACTGTAACAGTAACAACATAACTGAAAACCATGCCGCTCGGCATGTACAGTAACCAACTCCTCAATATACTACATAGTCTTCCCAAAATCCGAAACATCGTGAATCACAAACTGCAGAAGGAAACCTAATGTCTCTATACATCAGAGTCTAACAAAAGAAATACAGAAGATAATGGACATAGTGGAGAATAGAGGGGGACTCCGAGGTCTGCGGACGCGGCAGATATACCTTGAAGTCTCCAACTGTCGCTGCTCACTGATGACGTGGCTGGTAAGAAGTACCTGGATCTGCACACAAAAATATGTGCAGAAGAGTAGCATGAGTACACCACAAAGGTACCTAGTAAGTGCCAAGCCTAACCTCGGTCGAGTAGTGACGAGGTCGGGTCAGGGCCCTACTGGTATATATATAATGAAATAAGACAGAGCAAAATATTGTTGTATAATAAAAGACTGAAGTTTATCAAGAAGGAAATCATAGAACAATACAGTACAGTATACAGAATAACAACGGGGGATCTCCCGAGACACCGTCTCATAGTCCCAAAAGTAAATGTGCAGGGGGATCTTCTGGGATACCGTCCCATAGTCCCAAAGTAAATATACAGGGGGATCTCCCGAAATACCGTTCCGTAGTCCCAAAAGTAAATGTGCAAGGAGAACTCTCGAGGTACCGCCTCGTAGTCTCAAAAGTAAACATACAGGGGGATCTCCCGGAATACCGTTCTGTATTCCCAAAATAAATACGCAACTCAAATAAAATAAAGATAACAGTTACAGCAAGAAAACCTACAATTTAGGCTAAGTACAAGTCAAGACAAGAAACAGGAATCCGCTAAACATGCTGCAAAGAGTTCAGATAAGCAATTAAGGCACGTAGACAATGTTATTCTAGGCTAACAGCATAAATACACATGCTAGTACGCTCAGATAAGATGAAAACAGGTTATTACTCGGTAAAAATCAGGTCTTTTAATAATTAGCCCGTGTACGCACTCATCACCTCGCGTACACGGCGCTCACATAACATAACAACACCAAATCCTAAGGGAATTTCCCCCACACAAGGTTAGGCAAGCCACTTACCTTGAACCAGGCTCAATCAATCGGTAACAATGCATTTTCCACGAATATCCGACTCCGAATGGCCCAAATCCAATTGATATCTCTGAAAATCCTCAAAATCTCGTCCAAATTCGAGCTCCCAAACTCAAGTTTTGATAAAAATGGCGAACCCTCATTTTTGAAAAGTTTATATTCTGCAAGTGATTTAGCTTCTGCGAGGGGATAACCGCATCTGCTGTTCCGCACCTGCGGAAAAACCATCGCAGGTGCGGACTTCACTTAAGTCCTCAAGGTTCGCTTATGCGAACAAGAGTCGTTTCTGCGCGCCCGCTTCTGTGCTCCTCTACCGCTTTTGCAGAACTCTGGCCGCACCTGCGGTCCCAGCTGGGCAGGCCCATAATTGCTTCTGCGGCGCCGCACCTGTGGCCCAAAGTGCGCAGGTGCGATTACACCAGGTGCAGCAAGCTTCAGACATTCCAACACAACTCCAAGTGATCCGTTAACCATCCGAAGTCAACCCGGGCCCCCCGGGACCTCAACCAAATATACCAACAAGTCCTAAAACACCACACGAACTTAGTTGAGCCCTCAAATCACATCAAACAATGCTAAAATCACGAATCACCCTCCAATTCAAACTTAAAGAACTTGAAACTTCAAATTTCTACAACTGACGCTGAAACCTATCAAACCACGTTTGATTGACCCCAAATTTTGCACACAAGTCATATTCAATATTACGGACCTACTTCAACTTTCGGAATCGAAATCCGACCCCGATATCAAAAAGTCCACTACCGATCAAAATCTCCAAAAATTCGGCTTTCGCCATTTCAAGCCTAAATGAGCTACAGACCTCCAAAACACAATCCGAACACGCCCCTAAGTCCAAAATCACCCAACAGCTAACGAAATCAAAGGAACTCCATTCCGGAGTCGTCTTCACACAGTTCCGACTACGGTCAAAATCTTAAGACTTAAGCTTCCGTTTAGGGACTAAGTGTCCCAAAATACTCCAAAAACCAAAACAAAACCTCCCGACAAGTCACATAAGCAGAAAAAGATATAGGGGAAGCAGTAGATAGGTGATCGGGGCTATTACTCTCAAAACAACCGGCCGGGTCGTTACATTAGTAGTATTTAAAATTGTCGTAGTCAATAAAAACTATTCCGAAGAAATAGCAAATGACTCAAGACACAGTTCAAGGTTTCAGCATATGTCCCAACTAAAAAGATAAAATTCTGCTCCTTTAAGTAGGTTGGCAATGGGGCGGGGCGGGGTGGATGTGAGGCGGGTTGTGTCATAACCCGCAAAATTTCAAACCGCACTGCATAATATTTTTCTTATTTTTCAAAGAGGAACTTACAGAAACCACTACTTTTTAAGGAGCTTTTAACAATCCGTAACTATATTTTATACATTCCGTAGCTAGTTTTGGACAGTTAGTTGTATTTGAGTGTATTTGAATACACTATTAAGCTATATTTTTATTTTTTATTTTTTTCAGTGTATTTGAATATAAGTTGTATCCAACCATATTTGATGTCGCAAGGTTTAACGTATTGGACTATATTTGAATGTATTTACACTAAAAAAAAGGACGAAATGAAGAATACAGTCAAATACGGTCAAATCTCCGACGAAAATACAAAATACATTGTATTTAAAAAGGCGAATATAGTCAAACCCAGTCGGATCTTCGGAGAAATACAAAGCACCACTGTATTTACATTAAGAAAATGAAGAATACTTTCAAATACTTTTAAAAATACATTGTATTTACATTAAAAAATAAAGAACAATCAAATTCGGCAAAATCTCCGACGAGAATACAAAAAACATTGTATTTAAAAATGGAGAATACAATCAAGTCCCGTCAGATCTCCAGCGAAAATACAAAATACACTTTAGATCTTTGACGAAATACAAAATACGTTGTATTTATACAATAATATTCCGGCGTGGAAGGCAGTTGAGGAGAAAGAGATGGCTCATTTTTCCGGCATGAAAAGCAGTGGTGGAGGAATAAGTTTCCGACAAGATGAGTACACTTTGATGTGAGATAAGAAGGGGAAGAAGCCCTATATTCCACCATCTCCGTCAGATCCAGATCCGGTGATGCCTCCGATCTTCCTCCACCATTGTTTTCACCATCGGTAATTGATTGATCACAACTCCGTGATTTCAAATTTGGATCTGATGGTGGGTGGCGATGGTGTTTAAGAGTGATCCACGGTAAAGGGAGGCAGTTGTTTGGTTGCGCTCCGGTAGAGCTTCACCGGAGAAGATGACCGGTGGCGACTTCTCTGCTGTTACTGCTCGCCGGACGACGGTGGGTGGTGACGAAGCTGGACGCGCGGCTGGCCGAGGGAAAAGAGAGATGGAAGAAGGAGAGAGTTGAGGGAGAAGAGGGAGGCGGGAGGGTATAGGGAAAAGATTGATACAATGGAATAACTCTATATATTTGGTATATAGCTACAATAGGTAAATTGAAAATTCATTGTAGCTATAAAAAGCAATTAAATTAGAAGGTAATTCTCTTCCATAAATAACCCTTAGAATTAGCTATGGCAAGTAAATTTACCATTTTCAAACAGCCCCACCCTGCATCAACCTGCACCCGTCCTGGCCCGTTTTTTTTTTTTGTTGTAGCGATTTTGTAGATCTAGAAAACCTAAATCAAGATTTAATATTATTGCATTGAATAAAAAGATTCAGAACATAAATGGCAATGGAAAAAAAAGTCATGGACATTTAGTGAACTGCTGCTATTTTTGTAGTTTTTCTTTTCGTAAAATATGATACATTTTAGAGTGACAAGGCATTAGGTGAAGAAATATTAATATAATAACCTATCTACTATTTTTACCATTAGTTAGTCCTTGGTTAAATTAGTTACGAGCCATATTTTGAAAACTCAAGCGTATTTCTATTTGTCTACAAAAAATTAGGGATGGAAAAATAGAACTAGAAATATATAAAATTATATTAAAACCTTTTCTTTTGAATGTTTTTTCAAAAGTAAAATGAAAGGGCATTTATAAACGGGTACCCATTTATAAACTGGGCGAAGTGCACAAATAGCCACTAAAAGCAGCTGCTTTTATTTTAAAGCCAGTGTTTTCAATGTATTTAGGCTTTAGCCACTGCTTTAATAAACTTATACCTGACTGGAAAAAAATACCCTTCTGGTATAAGTTATACCTACGCTTTTAATCCCACAGAACCAGAAGCAGCAGCAGCAGCAGCAGAAGCGGCGATCGACACTGTGATCGCAATTCTCTTCCAATTTCAAAAATTCAACATTCTCATCCAAAAAATCGACATAGATAAACAATAAGTTATACTTTCATGTGTTTCTATCGATTTTTATTTCGATATAGTTATACTTTTTCCGATTTGTATTGATTTGATTATATAGTAGATAAGAATTTGATTTTTTTTTTTTGAATTTCTGAATTGATAAAGTTAAGGACATCGCCTCCTATGATAATTCTATAAAAGTTGAGCACATAATATTAAGGACATAGTGTCTTCATTTTGGAAATTGAATTCAAAATTAAGGACACAATGTCCTTAACTTTGATTCTACTGTCCTCATTTTGCAAATTGAATTGAAAAACTTAAGGACACAATGTCCTTCACTTTGTAGTTGTTCTTCTGTATACTAAGTCCTGAAGTTTGAGTTTCAAATTGAAAAAGTTAAGGACAGGAAGTCCTTAAGTTTGAATTACAGATTGAAAAGTTAAGGACATGAGTCCTTAAGTTTTGACTTGCAGGTTAAAAAGTTTAGGACAGGCAGTCCTTAACTTTTAATTCCAAGTTTAAATGTTAAGGACAGGCAGTCCTTAAGTTTTAATGTCTGGTTCAAAAGTTAAGGACAGGCAGTCCTTAACTTTTAATTCCAAGTTCAAATGTTAAGGACTGGCAGTCCTTAACTTTTAATTCCATGTTCAAATGTTAAGGACAGGCAGTCCTTAAGTTTTAATTCCAAGTTCAAATGTTAAGGACAGACAGTCCTTAAGTTTTAATTCCAAGTTCAAATGTTAAGGACTGGCAGTCCTTAACTTTTAATTCCATGTTCAAATGTTAAGGACAGGCAGTCCTTAACTTTTAATTCCATGTTCAAATGTTAAGGACAGGCAGTCCTTAAGTTTTAATTCCAAGTTCAAATGTTAAGGACTGGAAGTCCTTAACTTTTAATTCCAAGTTAAAATGTTAAGGACACTTAGTCCTTACCTTGGTCTTGCACTTACAGTACACCTGTTCTTAATTATACAAGGATTGCTTTATAACGTATGTCCTCAGTTTCCCATTCTCTTGACTTGCAGGATGGAAACAATATGCATTATAGTTGCTTTTATGGTAGATGGACTGAAGACTATAAATATCTTGATCATCAAACAAAGCTTTTTCTAGTACCTGAGTCAATTCGGTTTGAAGATTTCATTAAACAGATCTTTGAGCTTATTGAATTGGATAGAGAAAAGTTTGAAGCAGTGATATGGTTTGATATCAACCTTGGAACAAGCAAAGGAATGCTTGTATCTAAAGATTCTGATCTTCACACATGTATAGAGTTGCTAAAAACTCATTCACTCTTCAAGGGCTGTCATTTCATAGTTGATATTTCGGAAAGAGTTTTTGCATCTACAAGCAATGAACATGTCAACACAGAAACTCAACATGACAATCAAGACAAATGCCAACAGATAATGAAAATAGATATGGTTGAAGCTCAGCCATTAAATGAAGAGGTGCTTCAAACATTTGATTCTATTCAAGTAGAAGGACAAAGCATTATAGAGATTGACAACGAACAAGCTTTGGGTATTCAAGTCTTAGAGAGTGCACCGGTAATCGAAGAAGTTGCTGAAAAAACCTGTACTCAAATAACTAGATGAAGATCAAATTTGAAACAAAAAGAATCCCCAACTACGATATTAAGAGAAAATGCTTCGCTGGATGAAATAAAAGTCGGATCAGTATTTGACAAGAAGAAGAGTATAATTAACTGTTTTTCCAATATAGCAATCAAAGGACATTTTGAATTCAAGGTTGTTAGATCAAGCTCAACAAGATATTCGTTGACATGCAATGATGATAGGTGTTGTTGGTGTGTGCGTGCTTTCAGAATTAAAGATTCAACACTGTTCAAGATAGTAAAGATTGAGAAAAAGCATGACTGCTCTATTAACACTATGAAAGCAGATCAAAGGCATGCTACTTCAAAGTTGATTAGTGGTTACATTATCGACAATCTTCGGGACCCAAGATTTGAAGTTACACCAGCTTTTGTCATGGCAGAGATGCAAAAATTGCATGGACTAGACATTGGATATCACAAGGCGTGGCGTGCTATTCAACATGCTTCCGCTTTAATAAGAGGAAGTACCGAAGAGAATTATGAATTTTTGTCTTCATACTTGTATATGATGACAAGTATAAACCCGGGAACTTATACTAACATAAAGATAGACGACAACAACAGGTAAACAATTTAGGACATGCTGTCTTTAACCTTGTTAACTTTTGAGTTGTAACCAGAAGTTGAGGATTGGCTGTCCTTAAGTTTTGAACTTTGAAATCAAAGTTAAGGACAGCATGTCCTTAACTTTATAACTTGGAAATGTAAGTTAAGGACTGACTGTCCTAAACTTCAGGTATTTTTAACCTTATTTTATATTGTATTTTCAGGTTTCTTTATATGTTTTATGCATATGGATCATCAATAGCTGGTTGGAATCATTGTAGACTAGTGATTGCTGTTGATGCAACTTTTTTGAAGTCAAAATATCGTGGTGTTTTAATGATTTCAGTTTCAAAGGATGCAAATAACCAAAGTTTCCCATTAGCCTTTGGAATAGCAGAATCTGAAAATAACAATTCCTATGAGTGGTACTTTAGTCAGCTGCAATTGGGAGCCGTGAGAATTTATTTTTTTTATCAGACAGGCATCAAGCTATTGCAAATGGCATTGCAAAGGTATATCCTGAAAGCCGTCATGGGATTTGCGTCTATCATTTGGAGCAGAACCTAAAGCGAAGGAAGGTGAAAAGTGAGGTCATAAAACTTTTCCAAAGTGCTGCAAGAGTATACAGGCGCAAAGAATTTGACCTATACATGTCAGATATAGCAAATGTAGATAAGAAGACTTATGACTACTTGATGGAAGAACCACCGGAAAGATGGGCACGTTCTTGTAGTCCACGACGAAGATATGACATGCTCACAACAAACATAGTTGAGTCGATGAATTCTGTCCTATTAGAAGCAAGGGAGCTGCCTATACTAAGAATGATGGATTTCATTCAAGTGAAGCTACAACGTTGGTTTTATGAAAGAAGAAATAAAGCAGAAGGAACATTTTATGATGTTTCTTGTTGGGTAGAGGAGGAATTGAAGAAAAGAATAGATTTAGCATTTACTTTGAATGTAAGTATTATGTTCTATGTTTATATTATGATTTTAACATTATTTAACATAATGTACTCACTTATAATTTTTCAACATTGAAGGTCTTCCCTGTTGATTCATGGCGTTCTAGAGTTGAAGAAGAAGGAATAACTTTCTTGGTGGACTTAAACAAAAGAACATGTGATTGTTTTCAGTTTCAATTTGATGAATTACCATGCATACATGCAATTGCAGCTATCAAGAAGAGAAACATCAAGAAGTCCAACTTTTGTTCGCACTGGTACTTAAAGGAATCTTGGCTGAAAACATATGAAAGACAAATACATCCTGTAGGACATACTGATTCTTGGATTGTACCAGAGAGTGTTAAGTTACAAATTGTTAAACCTCCAGATTTCAAAGTGCCACCAGGTAGAAGGCAAAAGAAAAGGCATATTCCTGCTACCGAGCCATCAAAAATAACATTCAAATGTGGTCGTTGCAGAAGAATTGGTCATAATAGAACATCTTGTATATATTCTCCTGCTCTCCATCCATTTTCAAGAAAGCATAGAGAAGAGTAGATATATCCACTTATGTTTATCGACTCTTTTAAGTTTTTGCTATAGATTGTATTCATTTAGATTATTCTTATTTGAGCAGATGTCTGAATTTTGAAAATTTCTTTCTTGTTACCTTCTTTTAATTTCTTTTGAGTTCAACAATTAAAAGTTACGGATAGGAGTCAGTAAGTTCAAATTGCAATTTTAAAACTTAAGGACTGTCTGTCCTTAACTTTGAATTTCAAGTTCAAAAGTTAAGGACATGAGGTCCTTAAGTTATAGTCCCATGTTTAAAACTTAAGGACTGTCTGTCCTTAACTTTGAATTTCAAGTTCAAAAGTTAAGGACATGAGGTCCTTAAGTTATAGTCCCATGTTTAAAACTTAAGGACTGTCTGTCCTTAACTTTGAATTTCAAGTTCAAAAGTTAAGGACATGAGGTCCTTAACTTATACTTCCATGTTTAAAACTTACGGACTGTCTGTCCTTAACTACAAGAGTCCTTAAGTTTGAAATACAAGTTCAAAAGTGAAGGACAGCCAGTCCTTAAGTTTGAATTACATGTTCAAATGTTAAGGACAGGAAGTCCTTAACTTTGTGTTTCAAGTTCAAAAGTTAAGGACATTTGGTTCTTAACTTTGAATTTGAAGTTCACTTACACTTAGTCATGAACTAATACTAACAAACTCAATGGACAAATCAACACTTGAGAGAAACAACGAAATTAATAACAAGATGCCTTGATATAACTTCTGAAATTGTAATTTTGCATAGCTTGTGACAAAAAATTACGCTATGCCGACAAAATATAAGTGCCTTTTGACAAATTAACAGAATATTTCAGAAGTTTCCTAAACTTGCATAATTCATATGTATCCTTTACAGCAATTTTATACAAAAGAACACCACAATTCTTTACAACTCCTTTGGACAGAAAGTTTCATTTTCACTCTCATAATCATCGCCAACATTTTCTGGTGGAGTATCATAACCAGAATTTCGTTTCCATTCACCATATGCCCAAAGATTTGCAGCAAGTTCTTTTCTAAAGTCTTTTATGTCTTCGGGTTGGAATTGCTCCACGTCCTTTTCAATCATCAGCAACTCGACATATTTGATCAGGAATGCACCACAATCAGTCCTTAGAGAAATGTAAGATATGCAGTTAATTAAACAATAAATCTAAAGTACATATAAATAATATAACAAATAACAACACGTACGATCCATTTTGGTGTGGTGATCTTTGCCACTGTATATCAAATTTGTTGAAGACATTCCCAAAAGACTTGTGATGTTTGTCAAACTGTGCGAACTTTAGCAAGTGGGGGATCATGCGTGCATACATTTCCATGTGTTTCATTCCTGCCTCATATGGCTCACTGTATATGGAATCGTATACATCAATCTTTTTCTGATTCAAGTCCAATACCCCCAACAGAAAGTGTGTCACAACATTATCATCTTTTGAAGGAAGCCGACATGGAAAAAAGATTTTGTCAACCTCTTTCCAAGCAATTCCACATCTACGGCTGTCCCCCCACACATATGGTGTCAGAAACAACTGATCATCACCAGCACACCAAAAGTCATCAGTAGCATCTTCACTGAAATCTTTATACACAAGTACCATATAGTTATCAAAAAGAATATCAGTAGTTGTGCATCGAAAAGGATGATCGCGAGGGTGGTAGCATTCCTTCTTTCTCAGATAATATAGGGCAATGTCAATATGCTTCATAAAAAGGCAAAAAATAAAACAAATCCATCAGTCATAAAATAATTAAAAAATGATATATTAAGAATAGAAAAAATAAATGCTTTGTGAATTATCTAACCTTATCATCAAGTACAAAACTGCTATCTTAAAGCTCAAGGAAGAACATTTTGCTACTAATTTTTTGATGATACAATTTGTATGGATTTTTCCTCACACCATTATCATCAGCATATATATCAATTTGTCCCCTGAAAATTTTGAAAATATCAAAGTTAGAATTTAATCCTGAACTTAGCCTTTCATGTTGAAAAATTAACGACAGGCAGTCCTTAAATTTGAATTAGAAGTTCAAAAGCTAAGGACACTTGGTCCTTAACTTATAGATTCAAGTTTAAAACTTAAGGACTGTCTGTCCTTAACTTTGAATTCCAAATTCAAAAGCTAAGGACAGGCAGTCCTTAAGTTTGAGTATCAAGTTCAAAAGTTAAGGACATGAGGTCCTTAACTTATAGATTCAAGTTTAAAACTTAAGGACTGTCTGTCCTTAACTTTGAATTCCAAGTTCAAAACTTAAGGACAGGCAGTCCTTAAGTTTGTCTTGAAGGTTCAAAAGTTAAGGACAGCAGTCCTTAACTTTAAATTACAAGTTCGAATATTAAGGACACATGGTCCTGAATTTTCACTTACAACTTCAAAAGTTCAGGACAGTTAGTCCTAAAATTAGTCTTACAATCACAGAAGTTAAGGATGTAGTGAAACACATTAAGAGACTTACTCTTTTTTGCGACCTCTCCTTTTCTCCTTGCCCAACCACACAATGAATTTCTTCATTAATTTTGCATCTTCTGTGACATAATGAAAAATACACCTACGAGTATATGTTGATTTTATCCAACCTGAACTCTTCGGAGTATTTTGATTGTCTGCCATGGAACTTACTGCTTTTCTTTCCTTATCAAAAGGAGATTTCAACTGCCAACTTAGCTTCTTGTTCCTTTTACCTCGACCAAGTTCTTCTTCAACATTTCCTTCAACCTCCATAGTCAAAGCCCCATCAATGCCCATTTGTGTACTTGGAGGAGTAGGAGTAAGAAGAGAAAATGACGGACCATCATAACCAATACTGTCTCTCTTTCTTTTCCTCGTATATTGGTTAAGAGCGTCATCATTGTTGTCCTCTTTGTTGTCCTCTGCTGGCGACACTATATATATATATATATATATTAGTTTGCTGCAACTCGTCAAATGAAGAGACAAAATTTAAATTATGAATATAATATCTGGGACACAATCTGTATCTGTCTTCTCCACACTACCTTCTTGTGTTTTTTCAACAGACAATTCAGCTAAGATATTGCGTGCTTCATTTTCGTTTTCTTCCAATTGCACATTTTCTTTATCTTGCAGTTATTCACCATGTGCTTTAGTTGCTTGTTCACAAGATTCTGCAAAAATATTTACAAGAGCTAACATGTTAATAATCTTTTATTAAAACAATCATATATAAAATTAAAAAAAACACTGTCTAACCATTTGCAATATTCAAGATCATCCCAGCTATATCATCATCTTCACTAGCATTTTCTTGGATTCCAATATTGTCGTTAAGAGAGGGAGGTCTAGAGAGATCACATGTTGCATCTATACATTTGGAACCAATCTCACTTCTGCCTGTTCCTTCGGTATTTTCTATGTCTTGAGATTGTAGTCCAGTTTTCTCTCGATACTCCACTCCAGCTTCTTCCCTTGCTGCTTCAAAAGATTCTGTAACATTTGCAATTAATACCCATTCTAATAATTCACTAAAACTAAGATACAATATATAATGAAAATTTTATCTAACCTTGATTGGCACAAGTTTGAACTCCAAATTTTTCTTTGTATGACAGGGGTGTAGAGAGATCATATGTTCCTTCTAAGCATTTGCATACAATCTCGCTGACACTTGTTCCCAATGGACTTGTTAAATCCTCTTGAGATTGCAATCCACATTTACAAATTTTTTCTGGCACTCCTTTCTCTTGTTGATTCTCTTGGTCTTGACATTCTCCTACATCTTCAACTTCCACTCCATCAATAGATTCTACAGATATTTGTAATCACAAAAAAGTTTATATGTATTACTCTATTGAATACAAATTTCAACGAAAAAAATTCAAAATGTATATCCAACCTTTCCCAATATCAGTAACGTTCTCAGTTTCATCATCTAGATGTGCATCTCTGAAATCTCTTTCATACTGAACTTCTGCATGCACATCCATATCATCACGTTCATCACCGCCTGCATCTTCGTTGATTGTAACAGTAGGCTCTGTAGCACGACAATGATCATCAACTCCATCTTTTCTAATTGGAACACTAGATTCTCTATCTGTGTTCATTTGATCAGCTTTCCCAAAAATGTTCAACAAAGTATCAAGCTTTGATCCTAGAGTTTTCTTTAAATCCTGAGAAAGAAACTAAGTTAGAAAGTTAAGGACAGGTTCAAAACTTAAGGACATGCAGTCCTTAAGTTTGAATTACAGGTTGAAAAGTTAAGGACAGGCAGTCTTAACTTTGAATTCCAAGTTCAAAAGTTAAGGACAAGAAGTCCTTAACTTTGAATTCCAAGTTCAAAACTTAAGGACAGGAAGTCCTTAAGTTTCATTTCCTAGTTCAAAAGTTAAGGACAGGCAGTCCTTAACTTTGAATTCCAAGTTCAAAAGTTAAGGACAAGAAGTCCTTAACTTTCAATTCCAAGTTCAAAATTTAAGGACACAAAGTCCTAAAGTTGGACTAACTGAAATTACCATGATTTCATTCTCAATCTTTTTTTCTGCTACGGCTATTTTCTGATTAACTCTAGTAACTTCAGCTTGCAAATCCTTCTTAAAACTCTCTGATAATCTCTGAATCAAAAAACATAAAATAAAATAAAAAAAAGTGTTCGTAAGCAAGAAATAATCAAATAAAAAACTAATACTATTCAAAGGCAGAAACACATACTCTAACAATTTCCTTAAGTATGGCTTCGTCAAATTGTGTGGAAGAAGACCTTGAGCTTTGATCTTGTGAAATTGGCTCCTCCACACTAAGAGGCTCTGTATCTTCTTCTTCAACAGGAATAAATGGTGACACCTCGATCAACTTAAACAACTATTATATAAGAAAAAGTAAACATAAGTATTCAGAACTAAAACAAATAAACAAAAAAATAGATAGTAATTACATTAACTTACATTTTCATTATGGAAATATTTTCTACAAAGAGCATCAAACTGTGGAGACTTCATTTCAGAATAACATAACATCCGAGGATA